GTGTGTGTGTGTGTGTGTGTCGGTAAATGAGGGTGTTTTCTCTGTCCTTGTGTTCCTGAATCAGTAGATAGAACCCCTGGTAGTCCTGAAAGGCCCTTATTGACAGATTTTAATGCCCTTATTGGACCAGAAACACGTGGCAGACACACTTACTCAAGTGTGTCTGCACCATGGGCAGGCTCTAAAAGTGTGTTCATGTATTCATGTGTGAGTGCGCCCCCTGTATCTGCTACGTATGAGCCTCAATTGATTTCCACACAATAAGTCTCCTCTCTTCACTCTTTGGGTTTTAACTTCCCAGGGAGTCCAGTCACTAATCTCTGGGTGTCTAATAACCAAAAAAGTCTTACACTAATGAAATGTTAAAAAGCTTTGATTACACTGGGAACTGCAGCAAACGCTCCACGGCTGTTAGCTCCTGTCATCTATATCAATTAGTGCTGGAGGGAAAATCTATTAATGGTCTAAAACTGCAGGTCAGTTTTAGTCATTTCTTTGACGGCTGTAGTGTTTGAGTGTCATTATTGTATTAGTTTTAATTGATTTAGTTTGACTAAACTTCAGCTCCGTCGTATCTGTGCTTTGAAAAAAGCACAGGACAGGAAAAGTCACTGCAAGTCATATGAAAAAACTACAATTTTTTGAGTTATGTGCTCTACAGATGTAATGTTTGTAACATGTAACTTCGCCGGTCATATAATAATAATGCCTCTGTGCCAGCAGCTCACTAACTCTGACACGTGACTTTGTAGATCCAGACAGAAGCTGAAATGCTATGTTTTTCATGTTAGAGAGCTAACCCTGCTATACTGTAGTAACCAAAATACCATGCAGTTCTACCAATATGTTGCTGACATATATACTGTATATACTGTATATATATACATATATATACATATATATACAGTATATACAGTATATCAGAACTTCTCAAATAGTGGGGCGGGCCCCCCTTGCGGGGCGTGGTGAGGTACCAGTGGAATATACTGTAAATGTACCACTGCTGTAATGCTTGAATGATAACAAGCCTCCAGTCACTAGGTGGCAGCAACTCATACAGTGGTTTGTACAGATAAATATACATGTCATCAGGTTCACAGTATTTCAATTCGTGGAGGAGTGGGTCGGGGGGGCGTGAAAACATTTAACATATATGAACTACATGTGAACTGTCTTTTGTCTCTTTCTGTCTTCAAGGTAAATTATTTCCACTAGGTGGCGTTGCTCATTATGAATCATGATTCCTACCATCACATGTGTCTTTCAGGTAGTCGCTGTTCTAAATCAAAGTATCACAACTTCTAGAAGACCACTGCCTGTGCTCTGCTGACCCCGGCTGCCTCGGTCTCACTCTGTCTGCGCCTTCTTTCCCATTTATTTTCATTTATTTATTTCTTTTTTACTTACTTACTTTTTTATGTGTTGAAAAAGTGCAGTCTCGGTGATTTGGTATCATATCAAATGCTCGTAGGCATAAAGGGAGAGGGAGAAGGCAAGAATTGACGCCAGTTTCTGTGTGTGTGTGTGTGCCAGGAGAACATTGTAGTGAAGCACCAGTGAACATCTGGCCTATGTGCCAATGATTGGTTGGGGAAGTTCCTCAGGATATAACACTTGAAAATGTCTTGGCATGTTCACGACAACAGCAGTGCGGTGATCGTGTGTGTGTGTGTGTGTGTGAGCGACCACTGTATTCCGTGTGTGTGAACATTTGTGATTACATTTGTGATCTGTCTGTGAGGGATGATTGTATTATTTGTGTGTGAGGAAGCCCATTATGTTTGAATGAGTTGAAGATGATTGTATTCTTATGATTGTGTGTAAATGGTGATTGTAGCGCACTTGTGAGGAAAATTGTATATTTTGTGCGCGTGTGCTGGGAGCTTTAACTTCCCACCATTAGCTCTAAAGCCCTTTTTTGAGCAGGCGGCTGATTCTTCCCCTGATTACTATTTAGACTTGCACTCATTTACCGTGCACCATCTCTCCTTTGTTTTATCTCTGCGTTTATACCTTCTGCTAGCCCATTATTCCTCTTTCTCTGTAATATTTTTATCTTATTTGCCCGTGGTTCATAACAGGTTCAACAAGAGGCCAGTAGAAGTTCGACTTCTACTTTTACCACTTTGCTTCGACGCCGATCCTTCTCTCTAAGATTATCCTTCTTTTTAATTACACGATCCTCTCCCGGTCTGCGACCCTCCCGTACCATAAACACCTTGTGAACCGCTAACATGCATCGCCGTGTCTGGCGGTGTCGGCCTGCACCTGTAAAGGAGGCGGTGGCCCTGATCGGCGACGTCCGCCCAGCGCAGGCAGCCGGCCGTGGAAGATGCGGAAGGGTTGTTAAAAGTGTTGTTAAGAGAGCGGCTGGCAGCTGTTCCTGACAGGTTGGGGATGGAAGGACAGATGGTGTTTGATTAGCGAACAGATCGCTGATGGAAGGGGAGATGGAGGGAGAAATGAGGGTGGGGGCAGTTATAAGAGGGGCAAACAGAAGATGGAGGGATGAGTTCTTGGACTTGAAGGCGCATAAATGTGTGCAGATGCTCAGTAAAATGAGAAATAGTGGTTGGATCAATGGATGGTGGACTGTTAAATGGTCGATGTAATGGTGGACAGATGTATCACTCTGTGTAACTTTACACACAGACTTGGAAAAGGCTTTTAAATTATAAGTGATTAACAAGGAATTCTGGCCAAAGAAGAAAGTATACGGTCACGTAAGAGAAGGAAGTAGAATTAAGAAAGAAACAGTCAACACTTCTGGAGTGAGAGACATCCTCTGACGGAGACACAAAGACACGCAGACACATGTGGACATGCCGCTGGGGCAGCTGCTCCAAATGACAATTAGCTTTGTACACATGGGTGTCATCTTGAAGAAACAGTGCAAGGGAGCATGCAGCGCCTCCTGATTAAAGTCTGTTCAACACAGGCTAACAGCTAACAGAGGCAGCAGGTCAGGATCCAGCTACAGACACTGGAGAGACGTCCACCTGTTCTAATCAGATGAGAACCCTTTTCTACAGTGAGAACCCTGAAGACGGGTCTTGGACAATAACCCAAAACACCCTGCCAAGATGTGGCTAAAGTTATAAAACAAAATTATAACTTTCATATAACATTGAAAACACAATTTCTTTGTAGGTGAGCAATCGTACATATTCAGCAGGCGTTCAGTTAGTTGTCTCCTCCACTGTTTATCTGTTTAGGTCAGATGACATGGGTTTTGGTCTGTCCTCCATAGTTGAAATGACAGTAAGGGGATAGAATGTTGAGCAGTTGATGACGGTGACAGTCAATCATCTTTGAACACTTGATTTGGATTGGATGAAGGCTATAAAAAACGAAACTCTTTAGGCCCGGTCTCACATTTTCCTAATGTACTAACTGTTTGTTGCAGCTCCAATCAGACCTTAGCCTACAGCATATCATCTCTTTGGGCAAACTGACACTTCTGCTGTTAGCAAGCAAGATGAACAGACATCCTGTGATGGAAAAATACAAAACTGAAGTGGCTGAAAAAATGTCTTTGCATATAGTTAAAAATACCAGCTTTTCTCTTTATGTGTCTGCTAAAGAAAAACTAGTGTCCTGTTGTAGAGGATAACAAGCAAGCTCAGCAAAAATGAATGCAGTGCCTCTGTGCCTGCGCCGGAGGAAAGTGCAGCTGACTCTGTCCAGAACACAGCTTAACTGAAATCTGACCAAAAACATATAAAAAGGCCATCACTGGCCAAATACTGCCTCATAAAGACCATTTCTTAAAGTGGTGGCCAAATGTGCTGCGTCAAATGAGTTTGTTTTTACAAAACTAATTAACAGAAAATGACAGAATATTCCATCAAATTGCTGTTGGGCTTTTTCTTTGTTTGTTTTTTTCTTTTCCCATTAGTTTTATTGCATAAGTTGTAAATTTGTAGACATGAAAATAAACCCAGGCTTCTGCCTCATCACAGGCCATTGCATTCATCTACCAATATGGCAGTGGAAATGAACAAAGGAAGTGTGAGTGTGAGTGTTTCACAGCCGATGCCAGAGCTCACTGCTGCAGCAGTTAACACAGAAGACAGTTAGAGCCATCAGAATGATGTGGAGAAGAAATCCTCTCCATAATAAACCCCATCCCTACTCTATAATAACAGCAGCTATTACCAAGAAGTGTCACTGTCATGCCATCTCAGTGGACAGTGTGTGTGTGTGTGTGTGTGTGTGCCGGCTTGATGGAGAAATGAGACAATCAGCAGGCCAACACAAACACAGCTGTTTTATTGTTGCGCTGCTCAGATGTGTTTTCACAGGCAGACGCCGTGTGTGTCTGCGCTTGTGCTCGTGTGTGTGTGTGTGTGTGTGAGTGAATCATATACAGAGCTCAGAGTGACCCCACCTCCTGTTTAGCCCCACCTGTTCTAATGAAAAGCTTTGGCAGCATAAATCCAGTGCGCAGCACTGCTCATTTATGACGGTCTGTGTGTGTTTGATGATTTTTGTTGTAACATCTGAAACGTTCAACAGGTTTTTCTTTTTTGGTGTCTGTTTCTCTTTATTCAGTCCATCTGTGGGCTGGAGTTTAGAACTTGATGGAGGAACTTCTCAACACAGTGTTCAGTTTGACTGTGAAGATGAACCAGGGTGAAAACCTGCTGCAGAGTGTTGATTTACATCTGTGTTAGCTGTCAGTGTCTGGGCTAGCACTGTTGATTGAAACAGCTGAGTTAATATGCAAATCTGTGTCTTTATATTTGAAATCACCTCGGGACGTTCTGGAGAACCACTGAGCAGATCATCCAGCCAGAATTCCTATTATATTTATTACCATTTTTCAGAGTAAAGTTTATATTTTTGCTCTTTGAAAAAGTTCTCTTTAGTGAACTACAGCTTAGTAAATGCCTGAAGACAGGTCGAAATCAATACATTTCACTGACAACAAGGAAAGCTCTTTTCTCAAATGTAATTTAATATATACATATATATATATATATACATTCTGTGAGTCTTTTTCTGTTGCAATGGAAGTAAAAGTATAGTTTCAACTGCAGTACCACAGCTGTAGTTACTGACTCCAAAAAGTTCCATTTCCATTCATTTCCATTTAGGAGACATTTTTCATAGTGCAGCCATGAATCTGATATCTTCACCAACCTCCTGACTGTCCGTAAGAACGAGATGATTTAATATTATTATAAAGTAATTTTACATTAGTGTTTAGAATCTGCCAGCCTGTGTAACTGACGCTAACAAATGTTGCCTGTAGGGTATGGAAAAAGTCCTTCAGACCAAAGCAGACCTGAGGTCCCAGATCCCTGATGACAGCTGAGAGATGAAAGGTGACTGTGTTTGTGTTTAAACAGTGTGAAGACCACACCTTCACTGTACAGATACCTCGGGTCCAGGGCAGATGTGTTGTGGCTGAGTTACTTTTGGAATTCATTCTCCATGTTTCATACTGTATGTACATGAGCTTCTGTGCTGGTAGTTCCTCCCATACAGGGTGATGGTGGTTGACTTTGTGCTGCTGGTTATTCTAACCCACAGAGGGGTCAGTGTGAATGAAGTGAAGGAAGCAGGAGAGGAGACGGCGAGGGAAGATCAGTGTTGGAGGAATGGTGAAGGGTAAACAGGAGTGATGGCAGGTCAGTGAGGGCAGACCCACTGTGTGTGTGTGTGTGAGTGTGTGTGTGAGTCTAAGTCTGTACGTACGACTTTATGTGTGTGTGTCCCTGTCCCTGTGTCTTTGTACTGGCTAATCTAGGCGTCAGCAGCTTTTTGAGGCTTTTGTGCTGACAATAATCACACGGCGCTCCTCTTTTCAATTCATCAGCAACAACAAGGGATCACATGTCCCCTTTACAGAACCCAGACAGGGGGAGTGAGGGAGGGAAAAAAGACAGAGAGAGGAAGGGAGGGCAAGAACGGAGGTAAAGTGGCCATTATGTTGCTTAGTGACCGCATAGGTGGACGGTGATTTGCTGTGTGGGCAGGCTAATGCAAATGGTCAACACCCCGTGCACCTGTGCTGAGTGTGGACAAAACAGAGAAAGTACAATCCTTTATTTTGTCAAAGAATAATTTATTCCGTGATGATGAACATTGAGTAAATCAACGGTCCACGCTGCAGCAAGCAATCAATATCATCATCATCATCATCATCTTCATCATAACATTGATAGGAATAATTATTTCAATTATAAATAATAAAAGTGGTCAGAGTAATATTACATCTATACAGGCTACAAATATCAGCATCTCATTGGGTTTTTTTTTCTTTCTTTTTTTTTAAATTTGCTGATAAAACCTTAAACACTTCACACATGACCCCATCGGTCCGGCTGCCCCCCACCCCCCACTTTACCCCCCACCACCACCTTTCATGGTTGTGTGCCCAGAGAGGGAGACCAAAAATGTGAATGTACTTAGAGTTTTGGTCAGGAAGTTGGAAGTGATGATCAACGTCAGTTAAAAGCTGTAATTCTTCTTTATTTATGTATGTTATGCTATGATCCCGTTTAGAGGAAAATTGATTTTAGAGATACAACTGTCCTTGAGCCGTTGGCTGTTAATCACACATGCATTGCATTAAGACATTAAGACGACGATTTTCCTATTTTTATCCCAGTATTTAGTATAACTAATGTAACTATTTTTTATATTGATTTGGAGAGACAGTGTCACATCACCTAACTCTGATACAGAAATGAGTTTTTAATGTTTAATTTTATTGAATTTAGAGAATGCACTGTGTTCGTGACGGAGCTGATCATCATCGCAATGTGATCAATGAATGTAAAAATCAATTGTCAAAAGAAAAGCAGAAATTCAAATCATCAGTAAAACAATTGATGTCATTAATTGTTAAAACAGATTTTTAAGGTTTCCTCAGGAGGCGGTAGATTCTTCTAAATTGTAATATATATATATATGTATATATATGTATATATACATATATATACACACATATATATGTGTGTGTATATATATATATATATATATGTATATATACATATATATATATATGTATATATACATATATATATATATGTATATATATACATATATATACACACATATATATATATGTGTGTGTATATATATATATATATATATGTATATATACATATATATATATATACGTATATATATACATATATATGTATATATATACGTATATATATACGTATATATATATATATGTATATATACATATATATACACACACATATATATATATGTGTGTGTATATAGTAAAAATCTGAGATGTTCAAGGAAAAATGATTTTTTTCATTTGTCAGTTCTCTGACCGGAGGTGGGTGGGTGGGGTTCAGCCAGTAGGGGTGTGAGGCAGAGGAGGTCACAGTCGAGACAACAGCCAGTGATTCTGGGTACAGTAGGAAGAGAAAGAAGGAGAACCAGGAGGAAGAATAGAAGGGAAATCAACAACAATAAAAACACCTTTGTTGAAGTGGGAGCAGGAGAACGTCGGTACTTTTCTTTTTACACCTGTGTGTGTGTGAATCAGTGTCAGTGACAAGTGATACATTTATACAAAGGACAAACAAATTCCAAAAAACATCAATTCTTCCCGAAAAAGATTCATGTAACTTATAAACATCCACAATAACATTTTATATATTAATCCATTTTATTTTAGTTGGCTCCTGATCCCAGGTGTGAGTCTGGAGATCGTTCCATCGTCCTCTTCATGTGTGAAGAAGGTGGAACAGAGTCTTTCACCGTGAAGGAACATTTTCTGTTCAAGTGCAAGAAAGTTTCATTTTCACTGTTTTACATTAATTCTAAAAAAAAGCGTCAACACAAACCTGTCATTTTACCCATCTGACTCACCAGTCTCCGCCCTCCATGTCCACGGAAAGGAACTTTTTACTCGAAAAAAAAAAAATCATCTTTAGTAATCACTTCTGAAACTTCAAGTCTTTGCTTCTCCAAAATATTAAAACTTTCAACTGTCCATCCTAGCTGTGGACATTTTTCAATGATCTTTCTTACAAACTTCTTACAGTCTGTGGAGGCTTTTCCTGCGTCCGCCGTTTCCGTCTTTTTCCTAGTCAGTCGTGGAGGAGTTCTTGCAGACAGTTGGGGGATTTGAAGACTTCAGGAACCTCACTGTCCAGCTTGCAGATCACTTTGTAGATGGCCTTCTTCCAGGAAGGGTCCGCATCTTTGCCGGCCACGATGGCATTGAAGAACTCGCGAAGAGTCACCTGGGCCACCTCTAAGAACCGATCAGGAACCTTGAGAAGAGGCAGAACAAAGTAATTGGTCACTTTTGGTGGAACATTCCTCTTCAAAGTATATGGACGAGATGAAAGGGTTCTCAAGGGATTGCCTTAGAAGCTGCTGGTACTAAGAACTGACACTGGAGAATAACGCTTGGCCCTCAGTCGCTGGTTGTTTTGCCCAAAACTGTTGTAACAAGATCTGTTTGAGAGACCAGTCGCCCTCCTCCAGGAGAACTTCTTCGTTTAGAAAAGCCATTTTGTTTACATTTACATCACAAGAACAAAAAGCAGGCATGGAAGAAGAAGAAGTGGGACATTCACTTCAGTTATGGTCTTTCCAGGCGACCTTTGACCTGTTGAATAGCTGCTCACAACATTATGTTCCTGAACTTTCCAAAACCATAGCTTTGTTTTTGAACAGCTCCTAACATCAATCAGCTGATCTTTTTGTCTTAGAGATTAAGTCGTGTATTTTAAAAAATCCTTTGTTTTTAATATTATTATTGTGGTTGGTATTGGACATAGGATACTTCTTTAAAATACTTTTACTCTTACTTAACGTCTCAGCACAGCGACCACAGTGGTACTCAGTGCAGACCAGTTGTACACCAGTGAGTGAGTGTGATTTGTTTTCTTTCAGTTCTCATTGGTTCCAGTTCTTTAAGTCAACAATGTGGATGTTTTGACATATAAAATATATAAAACCTTGAACAGAAATGCTCCAGTGGTGTAAAAGCTCTGCTCACTTTCTGTTCAGCTGCCTGTTTAGTGTCACTTACGTTTTTTTTTAAATATTAAATTTAAATATTATTTTAATTTTAAATGTCGTGCAGGAATATTCATTTGCTTGGGGATTGAGAAGCTTCTGTTTGACTTCCTGCTTGATGTCCCTCACAGCTCTGCTACCAGTAAAAAGAATTAGTTGAATGATTTAAATTAGTTTTTTCAATGACTAGACATTTCAAGACATCCAGGTTAAAAAACCCAGGTTTTAGCCCTTGTTCATTAAGTGTGTCAAAAACTGCAATACATTTGATTTGTAAATAGGAATTACTGTAGTGAATGTTTCTATCCTGTTCCTTCACCAAGTTCTTTTTCAACTACAAACTTCCCCCAATCAACGTCCTCTGTTTTCTTAACATCCCTTCAGCCGTGTTCTTGTGTCTGTGCACATGCAACATGACATGATCTTCACTGGGCATTGTGTGTGTTTGGCAAAACAAACAAAAACAATCATTGCTGTATTTTGTTGCAGACACACATTTTTTCCTCTTTCTCCTGGGGGAGGGTCTGTACAAAGAAACGACTCTCCATCAACTCCTCTGTTTTTCTACTTCTTCTTTGTCTCTTCATCTGAACAAACACATTCCCACTGACACAAACACACACACACACACACACACAAGGTTGACTCTTGCAGACAAGTACACGCTCCTGTACAGCACAACAAACTTGCAAACACGGCGAGCAGAGGACGGCGTAGTTGCTGTCTGGGTGTAACCCCGTCATGCTTGGCAGGACACGCCAAGGTTAGCCGCCACCAGAACGGATGAATCACCTTCCACACACACACACACGCGCACACACACATGCACACATATGCTCCCTAAATGTTTCCCTGGACTCTCGTATACTGTCTCCCCTCACCTACCCTCTCTCTCTCTCTCATTTTAGCTGTTCCCTTGAGACCAAAGTTATTTCAATGAGACCCTCTGTCACTGTCTTGGTATAGACATTACTGTACAGTCACACACACACACACACACACACAAAGACACCACACCACTCTCACATCCAAGTTTAAACTTCCCAGGTGAGAACTTTTTGGACCTCTCCTTATGTTTTTGCCAACAGGGTAAACGCCCGTGCACTCACGACTTTGGTGTTAATCTTTGCATCATTTTAAATCATTATCTGTGAGTGAGATGGATGTGGTCCAGTAGGATACAGGGGAGCACACTGTGCCAGCCCTATTTGTCTGTCGGCATTCAGATGAATTCTGACACAGAATATTCCGGGCCGTAACAGTGTGTTGAGGAGTCGAACTGAGTAAAACGGTAGAAGGTCCACACCAGCTACATTTGAGCATCGTTGTCTAGAACAAGGATGGAGCAGAGACAGCAGTGACGGGACATGGCCTTTGACCTTATTGTTGTCATGTAGGGTTGCAAAAGCTGTCAGTGACATCATCATTTACAAAAGCTAAATAGAAAAATGTGCTTTAAATATGTTTTTGGTTGAAGTCGTCTGTGGCTCCTGGTCATTTTTACCATGAAAACTTCATGGAACAGTCGTAGCTCACTGCTGAACTCGTCCAAATGGAAGGCTATAAATAAACAACGGTGAGTAACTGACTGACTGATTAGTTTATAATCAGATTACTCTGATTGTTAGCAGAACATTTCCTCCTCTTTTGCACCGAGGCTGCCCCCAGTGGAGATTTGGGCAAGAACAAAAATTACCAAAATAAGACAAAGCCAAATTTAATGGCTTTTACCTCTGCGAGAAAATAACCAGAGCCCCAAAGTCAAGCTGCTGTTTTTAATAGCTCGCAGTGAAACGGCCCACTGGGAAAAATAAAAGTTGAAACCCGAGCTTGATCTTGAAGATGAATGTGCCTTTGAGGCGTCCTCTCCCCTCCTGGAATACATCCTTTCATCCTTTCAGTTGTTCAAATTCACTCTTCAAACCAGACAAATCCATTTGTTCAAAGTCATACTGAGTGGTTTTTCTCTAAATTGCCATATTAAATCCTTAATTTTTTGCAATGGGTTTAACCAATAAATGCATAACTGTGATGATCGGCGTTGTAACTGTTGTGTTTTCAAAATGTTCCAGGACGATTTGTGGCACGGCCTGAACTCAGCGAGCGTCTAAACGACGAGAGGACGACACTGGTCCACCCACACAAGGTAGGAAGGAGGGACACATGGGCAGGAACTAATGAGATGAAATACAGCGGCATGTTGTGTGTCCGGTTTTGGGTCACAGCTCAACTGTTCAACGCACATAAACACACACACACTTGGGTCCAGATGCCCAGAATTCTGTCTGGCCGTTGTAAATCAGTCCAATAAAGAGATCTAAATTAGGCCATCATCAATACAGATGGGCCGAATCCCCCCCCCCCACCCCCCCCCCCATGCTGCCAGGTGATTCTTTTGTGTTTGCGAGTCCTGAACGG